AGTCAAAAGCTAGTAAGCGTTGACTTTCGACCTCCAGTATTGGTAGCTACGATTATGTAAGGTAAGAGCGACATGGAGGGTGTGCTACTTCAACAGGCTCAAGGGATTTCGCTCGTCAAGACAGCGAGCGAAAGAAATCGTCGTTCCTGCACCTTCACTGGTGAGGAGGAATGTCTCGTAGGCTTGAGACGTCTCAGTTCTTCTGGGTCAGACCACTAACTACCGCATGTAGTAGCTAGTAGAGACATCAACCCTTTCCCAAGGCCCTCTAGCCTATAAGATCCCTGCTCGGTTCTCTAGTCGACCCAATCCCATCCCGCTCCATGCAGGGCGAAGACGAAGACCAATCCCTCGCCTCAAAGACGAAATAGACGGTAATGGCAGCGAGCTGGTGACAGGCAGCGCCCGCGCCACGTCACGCAAGGAAATCAACGACCACGACCACCCTGTACATCCTCGTCAACGCCTGCAGCGAATTTACCGTCACCGGGAGATCTCTGGGAGATCTCTCAGGGAAAAACGCCGCGAAACTCCCACTGGATCTCCTCCTTCGCATGCTCAACCTCCCCAACCTCCTTCATCCACGCCGCCAGTCTGCTCCCGCACATCCTAGTTGTAACGCTTGAAGCTTTAGGAAAAGGCCGTACGTAATGGAAATCTTCAAGCGTGGCGCCCCAGACTCGCTGATTGTTCTCAGTGACCTTGCCGCTAGGTAGGTCGGCCATCACAGGTCCATTGGAATCTCGGGGCCAGATGCAACGAACGACACGCTGCTTGGCCGAAGGAGTTGGGACTGGTCTGCGGAAAGGCGTAGGCGCGGTTTTGGGTGGTGGTGGTGGCTTGGTTTCTTCATTTAATTCAGAGTTCGGGACTTTGTAGGCCTCGAAATCTCACGAAATTTTGAAGACTTGAACTTGAGAGATTTATCGATGCGAAACTACACCGATAACATGAGGATTGATATTCAACGGTGACGTTGAGCAGTCCTAGGAACCCACCACTTCGTATGGTCATCGTAGCTCTTCAGTTCATAGCGAAGCCCCGCTAACGGCGACCGTTCATTCCGACATATCCCATCAGATTTCGTCTATATTTTCGTCAGTCCGAGCTATGCCCACGAACACATAGAACGATGACCCTTTGTAGTCAATGGTGAGAACACGCCGGCTGTGGAAATCCATTCCATGGATAAGGTATCTGTGTACTTATTCGTGCTGCTGGGTTGAATGTGTTCACTGCAAAACATATAACCGTTAAGCGTGCATCTTGCTAGTTGGACAGCAACATACCTCTCCTGTGATGATTTCATGCCAAGCCACTTGACGCGTCAGCTTTCCGGGCGGAAATAACGATAATAACGGATTCCTCTGGTGGCTGAGGCTGTCGTCCAGCACAAACGGCGCCACGGGAAGCGTATAGACTGACTAAAAACGAGGGAAAACCGATATCAGTACAAATTTAATTACTCATAAAGTAAAGAAATGCACCTTCCCGCCGCTTCATGCCCCAGATATGCGATATCCTAAATGCCAATTCGATATGTGGCCATGGAAGAGTCAGTTTATTGTATGTACACATGCCTGTCCAATGGCAGAAGAAGAATGAATATGAGCCTTTCACAGCTTGAGGATTGAAATATTGACGGCATCAAGGTCTGGAGTAGAGTATGTCACGGACAGTAACAGTCGAACAGTCTTCGGCTGCAATGGTCGGACTCCAGTTCAAGTTGATCTCGGCCGATGCCTGGCATTTTACGGCATCCTGTCGGCTTCTATACCATTTCCCCCCATTTTCTGCTGTTCACTTCTGACATCTTCGGCAGGTCCGCTTCTACGCTGCAGATTATTCATGATAAGGCCTAAACGTTCTCAGAAAACACTCATACGACTCAGGATATCATGTAGTAATACAATTACATTCCCAGCTCTCTCCTCTGAATCGACGCTTCCTTCAGGAAATAGTTTTCAGACCTTCCTAAGCCAGAAATGATCATTGATATAAGTCTGTGGATGATTGTCAAACTACGAGATATGTAATTTAGAACCCGGTTCGTACACAATGCAAGCTTTTATGCACTCGGACTTATCCACATTTTATTTAGCTGTATCTGATTCGAAAAATCATGAGAATTACGTACTTCATTATTTTTCAAAACAGCAAATGATGCAGCGTATACTCTGGGGGGGAAGGGCCCACTGTGCCCAAACGACAAATGGGGAAAAACCGGCGACCTCCTCGGATACCCGAGCCGCCACACAGCCGCCCCCGCTTTCTTCCATCTAGGACAACTTCTACATGGCACCGCTAGCTGTTTTCGCGTTCAACAAGCAAGCAACAGAGCAACTCAACGGTACTTGGTCGAAAATAGCTGGCTCGGCAACTCGATCGCCTGCCGTCAGTGTACCTTAAGCTAACCATAGGACTGTAACAATGACTTTGTTCGCACTGGTAGAACCATTGTTCACCTCCGTTGCAATGTGGTCCTTATTGTTGACGAATGCTCAAGGAGGAAAGTATTTGCTTCTGACATGCTGTGCTCCGGCTGAAAACTAACGCTTGGTGATACGGAAATGCTATATCCATGTGCGTGGGAATAGAAAAGGTCAATCTCTTTGTTTTTCTATACGTTCTAACCATCACAGGTTTTAGTTGATGGATCCGTGCCTTCGAGTTCTCGCGCAGCCTCCTCGGCAACCATTCTTGTTGCTCTCTGACACGGTGAATGTCATTCACGGTGTCACGTGTGTTCCAACATATCGTGAGGTCAATAGTCTTCATTCCCACATCGGAATTTAGTCTATGGCAATTGTACCCTTATCCTCACAAACGTATAAGATCTACAGGAAATCTTCTTCATTCTATCAACAATGGTAGGCACCATCTTCATGTAAACGGCTTTGTTGCTAAAAATGTTTGTTAACAGGATGACAACTACCTCCAAAGGATGATAGACCAACTCGCCGCCAAAGAGCTCATCTTTGGAGCTGGCGCGCGTTTCTCTTGTTCCGAGGTCTACACCACCGCACAAGCTTTCCTCAACATGCCCTCCATCGTGACAGAAATCAACCTCTACGAGACCACACCCGACACACTCTCCAAAGACGACTACCTCCCACTCCTTCTCACCCATCTCCAAACAACTGTCGGCAAAAATATCAGTTCACTCTCCTTCAGCAGACTCAGCTGGCGTAACTTCAAAGACCCCGTTCTCTGGCACAACGCTCTCACCTCCTTCCCGGCCGTTCATAACTTGGAGCTTTTCGATATCCAATGCACCGAAGCACAGTTCTTCCGAATCGTCAATTCCCTTCCCAGCGAGATGCACCTCTTCGGGATCCAAAGCATACACATCGACGAATACGAGGCCCAAGCAGGACAGTTCGTCCCTAGGTACGACACTCCTGAGCAGATCAGGGCCGGAGAACATGGTCCACGGGCAAATATGGTCAATATGGAGATCGCTACTCAGACCGACCTCGTCCTTTTCTCCCGGCTTGCGAGCCGTAACTCGCACTTGAAGGTCAGCTGGGTCGATGATCTCAGAGTGAGGCAGTACGGCGTCGCTAGACCTCCTTGGGATGTCTATATTTTCTCCCGTCTCTCTGCCATCATGCGTGCCACAGTCAAGCCGGGACAGATCCCTACGTTGCATTTGGGACCATTCGATTTTGGTGGGCGGAAGAGTCTGATCGTCTTGGCATTGATAACTAACTACAACTGTGCTAGCTTCGGATGATATTCCGGAGCCGCTCTTCCTCAAGAACGTCGTCGACCTGACCATCACTATCTCTTTGTTCAACGAAAAGCCTTGTCTCGACTGGTGGACTGCGACCCTGAACAGACTTGCATTCCCATGCACTATCGAGACACTCGAAATCAGGGTCGAAGTCGACACGGACGCTCTCCCCACTGGGGCCTCTTTTCTGATGGGTGTACCACCACAGGAATGGGCCGCGTTGGATGAAGCGTTGTGTCGCGCGGCGCCCATCATCGAAAGGATCAAGCTGTCGCTTTGTGGCCGCACCGATAAGCAGGACCCGGAGAATTACAACTGGGGCGATATCATAGAGTGGGTCGAAGATGCGTGTATCAGGAACGCGCAAGATATGTACGAGAGGAAGGCGTCGTCTTATTTCGAGTCCGAGAGGGTGAATTGATAGGGAAAATCCATCATATCGGTAGCGTCCCTATTATTAGACACAAATAGTATTTCCAATATTTCTGCGAAACGATCTTATGTGGTTTGCTCAGTGCTTCAGTGAAGAAAAAGTCAAGACAACGCCTTCCGGCCCCGGATCCGGTAACTGACTTCATTAGCCGGATGTTCGTCGGGAACTTTTCATCTTATCTTTCATTTTTTCCCATTAGTCATTGATTGAACTTGACACCTTTACGGGTGTGGCTGAGACATATGGAGACCTCACTGGTATTTGCTTATTTTATCGTGGTATTTGTCCCTCCTGATGATTTATAGCACTTGCCGTTCTTGCTGCTAAAGCACAAGACACATAGGTATTCTCAGAGCTGCTGCCAAATGTATGCGACTACCTCATCCATAATTGTAACGTTAGTTTAGCTGGTAATCCCTAATTTAGGGTGAGTCCCCTTCAATGATCGTATGAAAAAGCTAGATCGGAACTCGTTACCGTAAAAAAATGACACATGACCCTGATGTATCTCCCGATCCAATGGTTGTTTTTAGCCAACATGGGCATGTACTGCAATAAGATCCGAGGAAGATTGTGTATAGTTTTGGAAGACAGTGAACTTCTTCATTAATTCTTACTATGACCAGTGATAGTAATTCTTCAACACTGACAGGTGAACCCTCTCTCTCACGTAGCTTCAAGATTACTTTTATATCTTTTTTGTTTCAACTTCGGCTACAAGTCTGTCTGCAACACCGCTTGCGACACCGTCTACTTCAACAAATAGCAGAGGCGTTGAGATCACGTTAACCATTACTGTAACACTGTAAGTCTTATCAGTATTTCCATTATACAATGCTGCTAAGCTTGGCTCTCAGCATCCCCAGAACGATGTCCGTTTTTTTCTATCCACCGTCCATTTGACATGTCCACAACTTTACAACAGAACACTGACCGCTCCCGCCTCGACTCAGGCCTTTTCGTAAGTCAAACGAAATACTTAGAGCCGCATTTTCTCGCATCGGATCGTTGGTTGCCGTTGCGGTGCTTGTTTTGCTTTTCGCTTTCTGGAGAAGAAGAGAATATCACAGCGGGCCTAGTGACTCTCGGACGACTCCCGTGCCCGAGCGAACCTTAACCCCCTCCATCCGAGTAAGATCCGTCGAATCCCAAGCTCGGCAATGTCGACAGCCAGTTACCATTAATATCCTGGAAAGGATTTCGCAATAGTATATGAGCCTGTAGGTTTCGTCATTAGTCGTCATATTCGTAACAGATATGACACACGTTTCACCGCTCACTTCGTTTGAGTTCAGCCTTGGGATTTCATCAGGCTCATCATGGGAAAGTTTACTGACCGACGTTTCTCGTTAAGTACTTCATTTAATGTATGGATGAGATGACCAGAAACCCGAAAGATCAGCGCGGCTCTAGTTGTGCTTGGTCAATGCGATGGACATCCTTGAAGTTGGCTCCTGCAAATTTTTATTTATCTGTATGGGCCCCTGATCTCCAGTGGCGCCATGCCCACAACTGCATGGAATTTGTACCTGACAGAACACAGAAATAGCATAGACCTAGACCTATCGTCCTGTCAATAGAGCCATCAAAGTTGGAGCTAGCGATAGTGTTTCTTCAATCGGATAAGCAGAGACTAGAAGCTAGCGTGATATACGAGGCACGCGGAACGAATTCTCATTCAAAAATGGTAAGTCCTTGTAAATCTATATCGCTTCAATATGGATCTGAGAAACACAGAATGCCAATGGCGCCATATGATGCAATAATCTGTGACTTGAGCGACCTTCTTTTCACTTGGTCTGCTCGGTCTAATTGTACACTTTCCACGGAACTTCCCCTCTTGAACTTCTCCTCTTCGACGTGGCTCGAGTATGAGAAAGGCCGCATCTCCCAGGAGACATGCTACGCCCGTCTCGGACACGAATTCTCCCTCGATCCAGTCGACATTCGCAAAGCAGCCGAAGACTCCTGTGCCTCCCTGAAATGGGACACGAATCTGGAGAACTTTTTCCACGGACTCAAAGATGAAAATCGCGAAACGATGTGCGTCTTTGCCATGTTCAATATATCACAGCCAGGCTATGAAGCGCTCTGGAGCGTTTCGGCGGATATGAATTGGTCAATCTTCGATAGCATCTTCACATCCTTTGCAGCCGGTAGGCGTAAACCCGATCTGGGTTTCTACCGCTGTACGCTGTCTTAAGCGAATCTGGATGCCTCTCGAACCATTTTCATAGACGACAAGCGCGAGAACGTACTCTCTGCGCATTCCCGAGGACTATATTGCATTGTGTACCATGACTTCACATAGCTGAAGCGGTCATTGCTCAATCTGCTGGGAAATCCGGTACTCAGAGGTCAAGGATACCAGAAAAAGAATGCAGGGCATCTTACTCCGAATGCTCTGGACTATCCATTCAAGAGAACTTCTCTCAGCTGCTCATACTGCATATAAACCCATGACCTTGAGTTCATATCTTGGGCACCGGTGCTGACAGGTTTACAGATCGTTGGTCGATTTGGACGTGCCCAAGAAGGGGAAGGGGGACTTCTTTGCAGGCAGATTGAACTAATATATCACCGTGGTTAGCTGAGCTGATAATGATCAAAGGGGATGGCAAACTTACAATGACTAAATATCCTTGTGACTTTGACACGACCTCACCTGGCTTCACAGTATTTCGAGCGAAAGAGGAAGTTGTGGTATCTATGATGGATGAGATGTTGATGTATGTGAACGAAGACGGAGTCATACAGGTGAATCTATCTCCACCACGAATCCATGGACGAAACCTAACGTGTAGACATAGACATACTTTGACCAAACTCGGCCACAAATCGACCCCGTCGTCTGTGTCAATGCTCTCAGCATCTTCTATTCTTATGGTCGGGGAAATGAGATGAACCAGACGTTGGAATGGGTATACCAAGTTCTCCTCCATCGTGTGTACATCCAAGGATCGCGGTACTGCGAGACAGCAGAGTGTTTCCTCTTCTTCCTCTATCGATTTATTAGCGGCTGTAATAACCCAGTAATCCATAGTCGTTTCTATCCGCTCCTAAAAGACAGAGTTACGGAGAAAATTGGAACGGAAGGAGATGGACTTGCCTTTGCGATGTGTCTAATTGTGTGCAGCTTTACAAATGAAAAATGCAATCAACATCCAGACTCTCCGAGGGCTCCAGCGTGAAGATGGAGGATGGGACACTGGTTTGATATACAGATGTGGGCTTTCAGGTCTCAGTATTGGCACCGGGAGTCTGTTCTCAATAATAGTAGTACGTATAAACCTGGTAATTTCATACCATCGTGTATCAGGTTTCTCATATTGTACAAGAAGTAGCTGTAGCTGTGCGCATGAGTAGAGCCTGGGACTACTCGAAAGTTTTTCCTTTTCCGATTAGACCATCCAGTGCACATACCGTTATGGCTGGCAGCCTTACGGACATTTGAACAGTCAGCGAGAGTTTTTAGATGAGAAGCGGTGGTTTGTCGCGTTTCTTCCGTGAAACAGTCGGATAAGACCAGTCCAATACTTCCTAAGATACCAGAAGTACTCGCCCGCCAATGCAGCTTCGTACGATAGTGAAATACGAAGCGAAGGACCAGGAATGTAAATTCTGTAAGGAAAACGAGCACATCAAGACCCACTATTATTGGTCGCACCCTCATGTATGGATTTCTTGTTTATTCGATGCAGAAGAGTAACTTCTGTTCTAGATCAACACTACACGCATCATTCCTGTGGGACCCGAACCCACCATCCAACCTCTGTAATAGTTGTGTAACGCCAGTCCGACAAAGAGTATCAGGTTAAATGTAATTCTAGGACGTCCAGAAGAATCCAAAAGATTGGTAAAACAATGCATGAAATAGTAATGGCTCTTTGTACAGTATATATAATGATATTGAAGTTTAAAATAAGTTGTCAATAGAAAAACTGTATCGACAGCCATCAAGACTTCACAGGACTGAGGTTTTTAAGGTGTTTGGCAGCATGAAGCTTGTATTTCTCTATCCAATCTTCACTACCCATTGCCTTCTCCAGCCAATTTCACTGCCATAATCCCCGCTGTAACACCTGTTCCATACGTCCGTCAGAGAGCACGCACTAAAGCAGAAGAATCAAGCGCTTCAGGGTAGATGTCGTTAAGGAACACAGGCGGGGAAATCCCGCTTCAACTTTGGCCTAAATTTGAAATTCAAAGCTGGGGCCTAGGCCCTACCCCAAGTTGCGTCTCGCAGGTCGAAAAACAACGATTTAAACAAAGGATAAATATCGACCGATGGTAATGTTACTCTGATGATGCGTGTCCCGTTACTTACCCATCAACGTACTAAGAACAGGTGTAAGACCCCGCTTATCACCGGAGTGCACATTGCACATATTCTCCTGAGTCCTGCCACTAATATATCACTGCATTCCATTAAGTAGTCCGTTCAGATTTAGTGGACAGACAACAGCGACAATGGTCAATATTCTACAACTGAGGAAATGATATTTAAAGTTTAGAGGTATCTCTTTCTCCTAGTGACTAGGACTTGAGCTTCATGATCGACACATAAGATGTTAAGTCTGATATCCAATCCGTCTTTTTGGTACTTGCGAAACTCTTCGATATGTTCCTGAGTCAATCCCCAACTCAAGTCCTTCCCTGGCTCCGACATATCCAGGGTGACGGCCGACAAGATCCTAGTGTTCCATCTAGAAGATACCATGTCAAAGAAAACATGATCAACGAAAGTACAGGGCGTGTTTATGAGGACATCATCGATAGCGATATGAAGTTTCCTGAGGAGAGGAAGAAAGCTTTGCTGAGTAGAGGGATAGGAAGCCAAGCGGTCAATGAGGGCTTTGAATATGCGATCGTAGTTGGTGGCCCAGCGTTGTGTGGAAAGTTTGAGAGTGTTGATGTGTGGGGTGCAATGGAGAATGTGAAAAATAATGTCAGTGAAGATGACATCGACAAGCTCGAGTGATACGAGAGAACATTGCGAGCATTGGAGGAGGCTCGGAAGATCTGGAAGAGCGTCATCAGGACAAAGTGCATTCGCGCTAGGAACGACACGTATTTTCTCTAATTGGGGTAAGATTACGCTCCGAAATATGGCGCTATGACATGCCGTGAGATCGCGCAAACTTGATCGAAACGGAGGGGTAATACTAACCGGTGCCAAGGGTGGATAGCATATCAATTGCGTATGAAGTGTCTGCAGGTTTGGGCACCGCTGAATCACATCAATAACACGATGTACGCGTTCAGGAAACCCACGATACGTATAGTCGAAGAATGCGACGATATTATTCTATGGCAGCTCCAAGTGGTTGCCTGCGGAGTCGGTAAGAAGCTCAACAGTATGCAAAGCGGGGGCATCCTGGAATGCATCAATATATTGAGGTGTCCGCAATTCATGACAATGGACTGTCAGGTGAGACAGTTTGTTAAGCTGACAGCCAGGAATGTCGGGCAAAAAATGAATAGCATCGCGATCAGGGGTGATTGTTAAGTGCTCCCACCGTCACGACTGAGTAATAGCGAGCTGATAGATCGACCTCTTCACCTTGAGAGGATACCTGAAGTAAATGGATAACTCCAGGTCCAGGGCGAGGTAGGAAGAGCGCTCCAATGCTATCTTGAACCTAGACACGGGCTCCTTCACGACGCCGTCATCGGCAAGTGATATATGTGTCCACAAAGTCGGCATGTTGTTGGCAATTTGCCTCCAGGGCGAGCATATTTGCCCAAGCTTCCATGGGCCCCTCTGGTAATCATTAACATCGAAAGGCTCGAAGTAAGAACTGCGGTCGAGAATACACAGATGAAATATGTAAATGAGAATTTCGACAAAAAGTCGGTCGATAGGAGCTGGTCTGCGCTCTTCGATGAACGACATGTCGGATGGGGACATCGCGCTGGTAAGTGGATCGTATACACGTGCCAGGAAACAATAATCTATGGTGGAGCACGAGATGCAGCCGTCTGGTGACAGAAAAGTTACTTTTATATCATAGCTTCAATGTTAAGGACATATAAAAGATTTCTGTTCAAAGCATGTACTGGTAAAGAGATGTCGCGTTTCAGTGAGGGTGGATCGATGAAAACCAACAACGGCGAATGCCGAGTGAATTTTCTGGTTGTCGGCCCCTATTCCTTTACATACATTTTAACTGCAAGAGTTGCTCGTTTGTATGTATTGTCCGGATATTTTATCGCTCCCAGATGAGCGTGATTATCTGTTGTAAATATAGGCCAACAGAAGAAGTAATGATCTGCGACTAACTCCAGCTAACAATTAACATCCTTTGGAACGTACATCTCTTCAAATCCCATTTACAGTCGAACGACTTGGTGAGCAGCATAAATGAAGCGACGTTGGCACCCCAATCTCCGAAGGCAAAGTGTACTGAAACGTACCGAAACCTCGATAGAATACCGGAGAAAAGAATGAACAGCCGGACTATCGAGTGGCCTGGATTCGGTCGCACAATGCGGTTTTGTCATACCAGATCCTGGAAATTCTCACCAGATTATGTTCACAAATTCATATCGGGAGAATGATGAATCGCCGAGCTGGATTGCAAATGATGCTGTCGTACTTAGCTCAGAGAACGATATTAATGGAATCAATATCGTGAGACTTAATCTCTTCGACGCCGATATTGATCTGACCTATTTTTCAACGTAGGGAAGTGACGTGATGCTTGGGGATATTGGCTTCCAACTTGGTGCGTCCAGAAAGCTGTTCCGTGGCTATGACTAATCCTTTCGTAGGCGTCAGCGTATTCTACGCCATTCTGGGCTGTGAGTTTCTTCTCAGGTACAAGTACGACCGACCTTTCACTCGGCACCGGAATCGGAACGTCTCCTCGACGACTCTTCCGTCGCACAATTAACGCGGAGTTATGGACAAGAAAATAAAGTACATGATTCGAGCTTTGGCTTTCAACACTGTGTCTTATCATTCGGTATGTTAATTCGCAGTGTTCTCTTTTGTTTCTCACCTAAAGTCTTTGTACAGGGCAATTTACAGGACTATTGAACTCGAAGATGGGTGGAATGGGAAGATCATCCACACGCAGGTGTACTTTAGTGGGGTTTATTTCCTCGCGTCCTTTATACATGGCTTATCAACTGACTCTTAGGTGGCTTCGACGGTGCTATGGTCATCTTGGCAATCTACACCTTGAATTTTGCTCATCCTGGACGCCTGATTGGAAGAGGGATGGGTAGAGACCGAGCCATCGAAGATCAGAAAAGTGAGAGCGTTATTGAGCTAGGTGCAGCAACCTAGATTCAGGGATAAACGATGTTTCATTCCTAACACGTAAATCGACGGACAGTAAAGAGTGGCTAGCTATACAGAAATACATTGTGGATGGATCAAGAAATAAAGGAAATTACATATATAACTCCTCCTCGAGAAAGGACGCCGGGTGTCACGATTAGCGGCCCCGGCCTTTCCCTTCGCGCTGTGGACATGACGCACTGGCATACATGTCGGAGGGTAAAATAACCGGTTTGAATTTAAGCGCGACGACTGATCTTGAAAGCACCACAAGCGGTGGTTTTATAATAAGATCAGTATTATATATGCATGAAATGAGATTTTTCACCTGCTCGGGCTTGGTTAAACATTCTGGAAATCTTGACTTCATAGGATATCCGGTCAGACATAAACATTTATGCACCTTGAATGCGCGCAGGACAGGAGACAATAAAACTTCTTTAAGAAGTGGACATAATACAAAGCAAAGGTAACGTTTCGTCGTGACGTCGATTCGGCCATTCTTTGAGGCCTAGGGAGCGCTGGGGTCTCCATTTTTTTTTACAGCTACAAGGTCTCTCATCGGCCACTTGAATTAGTTTATCTAATGCCGAGCTGACGGTTCGGGCACCTGGTTGCCCGAAGCTCTTCCCCGTCAGGAAGAAATCAAGCTATTATCGGCTAAATGCTTTAGAGGTACGTTTCTCAATCGATTTTGCCTTGATAAATAGATTTACGAACCTTGGCTGCTTGTCGGGCGAGGTGCAGTGCCAGTTTGTAGATACTCGCTCCAACCAGTAGAATCGCCAAAATGAAGGAGCCTGTGTCAACTGTAGCTGCGTCAGACGAGCCATGAAGGGTCAGAACATAGCAGCAAGAACAAAACGAAGGTTGTTGTCGTTGTGATGGTCGATGGCAAAGGATGTTTGGCGACGTCAACAATCAAACCTGGTTCTCCTCACCACACCTGCACACAAGTCGAGACAATATCGTCTCGTAGATGTGTCTGCAACATTTTCTTGGAGCATCTAAGGCGTACACGATACCGAAGAGCGGCTTGGCTGCCAGTTTGGACGAGATCTCCAGTGAGAAAGCCTATTTCTTCCTCTCTTCAGTGTTCTTACACTCAATTTTTAAGCATTGGTAGGCGGAGAACGAAGTCTGTTTATCGTCTCAATTATAGGACATCACTGAAGGGCTAGCCCTCTTCTAAAGGGATTTCTTACATTACCAGAAGTCGGTCCCGATCGTTGGCAGTAGCTCTTCGTGACATTTGTTCGTCTTTACTAGGTAGTACGCAGGAGGGTTCTATGCGCCTTGCAATGGTCTGGTAACTCAAAGAAGGATGGAAGTTAGGTCAGATCCCTTCCTATATGCGCCAATATCACTCTGGTTGATATAATCTTAAGTATGAGTGATCCGTGAGTGACAAGACAGGTAGAAACACAATAAGGCTTACAGGCCCTCGGTCTCAGTCTACTGTAGGCCGGTCCAAGAATACGGATAATTGCACCGAGGGTGATGAATTTGGCGGCACCAAGAGGCGTAGGTCCGATAATTGTAGCTGTTATTCTATTCAAAGTGAGGAAAGTATGATCTAGGATACAAAATGGTTGAGTATACTGGATGTATCGGGCGTATCGAGACGCGGAGAGATACTCGACCAAAATCGCGCACTCCATCCCAAGATGTCCAAGCACCCAGCTAAGAGGACGGTCGGGATTATCCAACACATGCGGTGGTACAAGCCTTGGAAGGTGTGCGTCACTACCCAAAATAAAAATCAATTCGCGGCTAGAAAGGTGCGCCTACTCATGTGTAGAAATATCGAATAGAATGACAAACATGAGTGTGACGCCTTTGGTGGGCACATATCCGTATAAATCGTCATCATTTGCTTCTTCTTGAGAAAAGGCCTTAACTGGGATGAGCTAGTTAAGAATCAGCTATATATGCGGAGAAAAAACACCCACTACGATCTAGAATCATGGTGAGAGAATGAAGATGAGGGAACACGACGAAGCAAAATCTTTGGTCAATGCACTTTCAGAATGAATCGCTATATCCTCTCTCGAGATTTCATGATATCCGCAGCTAGGAGTAAATGCATCGCCTCCTTCGCATACATCTGAAAATCAGCCAATGGGCGGGATATCTTGTCCGGGCGCCATGATTGTGCCCATCGAAACAGGATACAACAAGTCTTGAGAGCCAATAGCGTTACAGACCTATATGTAGCTCCAGAGATGTCCAGCGAGACCCGTATCCATAACCTTGGATTCGATCTAGGAAAATAACTGAGTTTTAGTACACAGGCGAAGATCCTTAAACGTTGGTGCACCCAGGGCTGCGACTGCGGATTGAAACATCGACACCGCCGCACCACCTTGCGAACCATGGCAGAGGTAAGAAGGTCCGCAGCAGCATATGTATGAGGAAGAGAACGGTGAGCAGGTCGTAGAATTGTATTAATACGCATAAGAAATCTGCCCAGACGACAAGCCTGAAACCAATTCCAGGTTGCGCAGTAGCCAGCCGATGTTTTGACTGTAGGTTGGTCTAGCGTCCCCGTTATTCGGCTTTCTTCTGGATGACAAAAAAGGGCTTCGGTTCTTTCCTAGAAAATTACGAACGACAAGACCAGATTGGCTGTGGAATGACCTCGTAAATGGCTGAGAGGACCATAGAGCCAAGGGATCTGCGCCACATTGTCCTCATTTTCTCTTAGAAATGCCTGAAACGTGAGCGAAGGAAGCTTGAGGTTCTCGTTGTTTGACCGAAGTTGTGAAGTAGCGTTAGATGCTTAAGCTAGACAGCAATTATGACAAGCAGAAGAGCCTGTTCAAATAAAAATAAGAGCGGAGGAAGTTAGGGGAAACGTCCTGCTAGTGAATTCGAGAAAGAAGGAGACATGGAATGCGCGGTGTTACACAGATCTCAAATTCATTTTGGTTGTATCCGGCTTCCCGGATAAGCTACCCCACTTTTGTTCTCTCGAAATATAGAGGCAACCAAAAACAGGCAATGCGGATGGTCTGAGGAGAAATCATGCTGAAATCGTACGCGGTTGTGCGATCGAAAACAGGAACGCTACAACCCGGGCCGGCTTTGCGGAAGACCGCGTACCACGGGAATACAGAACAAAGCAACTCCGCGACTGATGCTACTTCCGGGCGTTCCTTGTTTCCGTTTCAGTACATGGTATCTGGTATATATTCTGGAACAGTTTGTCTCTCACGCCTCCGTCAAACAACTATGGTTCCTTCGCGAAGAGTAAGTGGTTTCTCTCAGTTAGGCTTTCTATATTCTGAGTTTTCACATTTCTCAGCGCCGCAGCCGCCGCTCTCACACGATTGAAGAGTTATTTTCTGCGGACATCCTCAACTTTAGCGACTTTTCTGTCCGGGAAATCTACAATGCCTTTCAGCAATTTCCCAACTTACTCTCGCGCGGATTCGCGATGCTCGATCTCTATGCTGCTGATCAAGAAGTATATTCGGATCCATATTATCGCGCCATCATGGATCTTCTGAAGAATACGCGGCTCCAAAGTATCGGATGCGCCGATATGTCTGTGTCACCCAATGAGGTTGGCGTATGGCGAGGCACTTTTCTTAACGTCACGAATCTTGACTTGCTTCGCGTAACCTGTAGCACGGTCCAGTATCAAATTATGTTGGACTCTGTACCGAACCTGGAATCTTTTTGGACAGAAGAAATGCACATTACTACCTTGGCACAATGGGTTAATTACAGTGAATTTGACGCCATGGTCGAGAGACCGGAACAGTGGGGGATGATCGGGCGAGAGCAGAAAGGCGTTCAGCTGTCCGAGCCCACATTAACCATAATTACACTCGATGATGAGGTGTTGGCGACCCGGTTTGCTAGTCGACAATCCCCATGTCGGACGAGTGGGTTGAGCTCACTATTCTACCAGGGCAACAATAGCGAACGGATGACTGTGTCCCTCTCTGTTCTTTTGGCGCTCGATAGAAATGGGGTAGAGTTTGTTTGCAATGGATATAACTCAGGTATCTCTTCGTCTTGGTTAGTTAGCAGCAACGTCGCGTACTGATCATCGTCCTAGAAAGCCGGATTCCCCCACTTATAATCCCTTCGAAGTACATCTCTGTTTTCGATTGCGTTTTTGAATTGGAAGATGACTATAGGACCGTTCATCCCCTCGAATGGCTCACCAGATCGTTCAGCATGGTGACGACTCCGACGCAGATTCAAACATTGATTATTACGATGGATCCATGTAGCGACATCGACGAATCTACACCACCTCCAGATCGGGATGATCCGATCGTAGGGATGTGGAACGAGCTGGACGAAGCACTTTGTCGTTGGCAGGTCTCGTTTCGTGCGTTGGTCTTCAAGCCTGGAACCCCAGACGCTGCGTTGTGGAGCAGAATCGTTCAGTGGCTGGGAGACGTCTGTCTCCCAAAAGTTAAAAGAAGGTATGAGGAAATGGGACCAATGCATTTTCAGGTGAGACCGTTTGGGTACATATGAAAGAGTCGTAGCAAGAGGAGATGGGCGCCACCGGGAAGTTGAGTGGCCAATAACAGCATATATTTGTCCAAACCTAATTATACTGGGAACAAGCCGGAGTGGCAAAGCCGCTCATTCGAAGAGATATCAATGAGAAGAATATGACTGCCTCCATTATCGGTCCTAGAATTATATACAATTAAAAGCCATGCACGTAAGGCTGTTGTCGGTAATGAAAGACTAAGGATCCCATCGAAGACTGAGGCCTTGATGGTGCTCGAAACATTGGACCAGAACCTCGGATTTGAGCCACTCGTCATAAAACCTCATGTTGAAGGCGATGTCAGAGAAGTCCAGAGGTCTAGGCACTACTGAGAACTCGGTCAATTTGAACTTCTGGTCCGACAAAATCTCGTCAAAGATAATCCATGAAAGTGCCTTCCCTCCCGTGGGCAGGAGAAGAAACGTCTTCGGGGCAACATCGACCATGATACAAATATCAGTGAGATTGTTTATCTCTGGGACTTGCTTAAACATCGATGCCCACCACCGCAAACAGTCATTTGTGTGCTCAAAGTCATATTCACCATTCAGGGGAATCATCACCTCGAGGGAGTGGACACTGGCAAGATTAAGGGGTGGTGGCCGTGCTGTATGACCTGCATATTCAGAAACCAATACCTGGTAAATGGGGCAAAAGGCTTACCTAGATCAAAACTCACACAATTAACCGACAAGTCGCAAGGTTCCGCGATGTCGATCAGGGTTGCAATCTGACGAATGACATCCTCCCCTCCTGTACCTTCGATCGCAAGAGTTTCAAGGCGGCGAAATGAGACGGGGGAATTTATCCTTATAAAAGGGTCTAGCGTATTGGTGGTGCCTTCGCCAACAGAGATAGAGAAAGACGAGATTTCAGGGCCGTGCTGATTATTCCGGATGGTTTGCGCATCGAATGCTTGGATGTTCGCATGCACGGCGAAGATGTTGGTACTGGTAAGCTTGACTTCATCCAAGGTCAGCTCCGTGAGTTTCGGAAATGCACGTATGAGGGAGAAAAGCTCGATCCCTCCAAGGCTGACAGCCTCTAGCTCAAGCGAGGTGATGTTGGGGAACGCAGTGATAGTGAGATGCCACCGAATGGGAGATCCGAAATCCCCCCAACTCAAACCACTGAGGAACATGTTGGTTATCGAAGGGTGGTGTGAGAGGGCCTCTACGAGTGTCAGTAGGAAAGGGTCGCTATGACTGTCCAAAGGGCCCAAGCGCTGGATGTTGATCCATTCGAAGTGACGTCCAAGGACATCATCGAGAGAAGACGCGGAGCGGAGGTGGCGATATAGGTCCTCGCAAGTGGCTGGTAGGCCGTAATTTGAACTAATGAGTGTGTAGGGTGAAGACATTTTTGAGGCAACTTTTATGGAGGAGAAGTCACTGGCAGGGTATGTGGGGTGTTGGTGGGAGACGAAGACTTGTGAAAAGCCACTAATAGGTATTATATGAGGCCTTGCTACCGGTGACCAAGCCCGACCCATTGTGACCAAGACAACATTCGAAGACGAAAAGGGAATAAGCAACAAAAGTCAACATTGGGGAAGGCCAGGCCATTCTACCCAAAGGTAGAATCGGGACGCGCATGTACTAAATAGGACCTGTCTGATCTCTATCGAGACCGTCGATCAATGGTCCGAGCCTCGGAAAATGTTGCCTTCCGTTCTTTCTGAGTCCAATTTGCCTGTATACTCATGGAGGTGTATTTGTCTGTTGGAGTTGAACTGGGCGCTGTAGAGCCTGACCAGATTCTAGAGGCTGTCAACACATTTCCATCAAACTGTATCTACACGTTTCAATCTAAGAAGGACTAAATGTCACACGGCTCCGGGCAACAGTTATTAATTCCGTGTCATGACTCGTGGAACCATTGAGTAACTAATAGTTCTCCCCGCACGTCTCCCGCCACTGATACTTTCCACAATAATATGTTGGTGCTGGTATCTGCTTCGCAGTTCACCGTGGCTCCGAGTCGGTATGGCGGTTCGTGGGAGAGAATTGGTGTGAGTTTATGTGAGTGAATTGAGAGAGAGATCCTGAATAAAGGTATCGCATCCAAGGATATGGCCTTTCCGTAGTTTGGTCGCTCAATCGAGGTTGACAGAGTTGTGGCTAAAAAATTATGCGACTAAGAGCAGAAATATTTGCAGCTTTATCGCGATAAACAGAGCACAAAAACAACGGAAGAGCATGAAACAATTCAGCATTGAACAGAAAACCATGCTATCGACAACTACATCCCTAGGCGTGATCTGGGGAAAAGTCAGACTGCATCCCAAGTGTGACATCCCAAAACGGATTGAATTTTCGGTTCCGTCGCCATCAGCCGGAGGAAGCAGAGGGACAGAAGGAGGTCATTCAGGGACAGCGAAATCCTTTGACTATCTCGTAGGACTTAATGCGAACCTCCCCGGAACACTGCGATCCTATCCTAGGCTCTATGAATGTCAGAGAGACCGCAGATCGACGCATTTATAACTGTACATTCACATTCCGTCAGGCTCTTTGTGCCCCGACCCGAAATGTCAGTCTTTTCAGAGTCCTTCGCTTGTCTGAAGACTGGCTGTAATCATCATCACCTGCAACTTACTTAGTCCCGTTGAATGTTACGCCTTAGTTAGATCTCACCAGATATCTGAATTATAATAAGGATGCATGTCGGCGGCATCATTTTCCCACCGCAGCTTAGTGAGCGGACGTCTACCGCACGGTATAATTGTTAGCAACAGCTCTCCGCTCGTTTCCGAATCCCTATTTTTGTTTTCCTCCTCCCATATTGTTCTCCATCGTGCTTCTGACTCGCTGACCCTCTGCCGATATGTATCGAAGTGCCCGACTGAGGTGTCCACAGGGAAGGAGGTGAAGTCAAGGCAAATCACCACCGCGGCGCGAGGTAGCCGTCAACAAGAGAGGTTATTCGGGTTATATTAATTGGCGATTCAAGAATGATATCCATGAGATCCCTGACCTGCAGCAGTGCAACGGCGGCAGTTCTGTCCACTGCTGCGCTGGCTGGATATCGTCTTCACTAAGAAACCATTAGTATTCGGCATAAGTATGAAAATTATCACTTTACATATCTGCGGTTCATAATTGCGGAATTAGTGTGATGGTGGTAGTGAGAGACTGGAGCTGACGATGGTGACGCAACATCACGTGGGTACGAAGTACAGTAATAACCCGAAACCGAATACTACTAAGGTTCCATCAAGATCATTCAAGAACGAGATGATCAAAATGATAGTTCCATGAGAGAACGAAGAAAAAGATGACACAAACTGGCGATTGCAGTACAACAGTGAGGTGGCTTTGCAGGGACGACGAACAATAGGAACTGAGGATAAATGAATTCATTCTGACCAATCTTTGGGACTTGAGATCATCTGAGAGATCAGTACCTAGAGCAACTATCAGCGTCTCGAAGCGCTGTATTTTGGTACCTGACTGATCATCCAGATAGAACAGCTCCAGTTTTTCAGATAGATGGAAGCAATACCTGGATCTCTGGACGGAGCAAATTTCTTGAAGATCTTATCATGCGAGGGAGTGAGGTTGGGATCAATGGTGGTATTGTGAGAGGCTGAGTTCTCGAGCGCCCGAAAGGGGACACCCAAGCCAACTACGGAGTATACGTAGGACAGGTAGTGGTGATAGAAGAAGAAAAACAGAGAACGGATAGAAGGAAAAGAAATGTATATAGGGAGGTGGGTGGGAGAGAAAATTTACTACGTTTACGACTGCGAGCAAGAGAGTGAGAGGGTGAGGAAAGGATCTTGGTCCAAGTGCGACTATATATCGTAGATGAAAACAAAAAAAATCGGATCAATCGATGACAAGAAACGAGACGCAGCGTGTCGAGATGACGTCAATCTTGCATTGACCCTGAACAATCGTCCTTGTTCAATAAGCTTCGTGGCCACAATAAAATAAGCAAGTACCAGTGAGGTCTCCATGGGTCTCAGCCACACCCGTAAAGGTGTCAAGTTCAATCAATGACTAATGGGAAAAAAATGGAAGATGAGATTAAAAGTTCCCGACGAACATCCGGCTAATAAAGTCAGTTACCGGATCCGGGGCCGGAAGGTGTTGTCTTGACTTTTTCTTCACTGAAGCACCGAACAAACCGTAGAAGATCATTTCGCAGAAATATTGGAAATGCTATGTGTGTCTAATAATAGAGACGCTACCGATATGATGGATTTTCCCTATCAATTCACATCTCGGACTCGAAATAAGACGACCCCTTCCTCTCGTACATCTCTTGCGCGTTCCTGATGCACGCATCTTCGACCCACTCCATGATATCGCCCCATTTGTAATTCTCCGGGTCCTGCTTATCGGCGCGGCCACAAAGCGACAGCTTGGTCCTTTCGATGATGGGCGCTGCGCGACACAATGCTTCATCAAACGCGGCCCATTCCTGTGGTGGTACACCCATCAGAAAAGAGGCCCCAGTGGGGAGAGCGTCCGTGTCGACTTCGACCCTGATTTCGAGTGTCTCGATAGTGCATGGGAATGCAAGTCTGTTCAGGGTCGCAGTCCACCAGTCGAGACAAGGCTTTTCGTTGAACAAAGAGATAGTGATGGTCAGGTCGACGACGTTCTTGAGGAAGAGCGGCTCCGGAATATCATCCGAAGCTAGCACAGTTGTAGTTAGTTATCAATGCCAAGACGATCAGACTCTTCCGCCCACCAAAATCGAATGGTCCCAAATGCAACGTAGGGATCTGTCCCGGCTTGACTGTGGCACGCATGATGGCAGAGAGACGGGAGAAAATATAGACATCCCAAGGAGGTCTAGCGACGCCGTACTGCCTCACTCTGAGATCATCGACCCAGCTGACCTTCAAGTGCGAGTTACGGCTCGCAAGCCGGGAGAAAAGGACGAGGTCGGTCTGAGTAGCGATCTCCATATTGACCATATTTGCCCGTGGACCATGTTCTCCGGCCCTGATCTGCTCAGGAGTGTCGTACCTAGGGACGAACTGTCCTGCTTGGGCCTCGTATTCGTCGATGTGTATGCTTTGGATCCCGAAGAGGTGCATCTCGCTGGGAAGGGAATTGACGATTCGGAAGAACTGTGCTTCGGTGCATTGGATATCGAAAAGCTCCAAGTTATGAACGGCCGGGAAGGAGGTGAGAGCGTTGTGCCAGAGAACGGGGTCTTTGAAGTTACGCCAGCTGAGTCTGCTGAAGGAGAGTGAACTGATATTTTTGCCGACAGTTGTTTGGAGATGGGTGAGAAGGAGTGGGAGGTAGTCGTCTTTGGAGAGTGTGTCGGGTGTGGTCTCGTAGAGGTTGATTTCTGTCACGATGGAGGGCATGTTGAGGAAAGCTTGTGCGGTGGTGTAGACCTCGGAACAAGAGAAACGCGCGCCAGCTCCAAAGATGAGCTCTTTGGCGGCGAGTTGGTCTATCATCCTTTGGAGGTAGTTGTCATCCTGTTAACAAACATTTTTAGCGACAAAGCCGTTTACATGAAGATGGTGCCTACCATTGTTGATAGAATGAAGAAGATTTCCTGCAGATCTTATACGTTTGTGAGGATAAGGGTACAATTGCCATAGACTGAATTCCGATGTGGGAATGAAGACTATTGACCTCACGACATGTTGGAACACAGGTGACACCATGAATGACATTCACCGTGTCGGAGAGCAACAAGAATGGTCGCCAAGGAGGCTGCGTGAGAACTTGAAGGCACGGATCCATCAACTAAAACCTGAGATGGTTAGAACGTGTAGAAAAACAAAGAGATTGACCTTTTCTATTCCCGTGCAGATGGATATGGTGTTTCCGTATCACCAAGCGTTAGTTTTCAGCCGGAGCACAGCGTGTCAGAAGCAAATACTTTCCTCCTTGAGTATTCGTCAACAATAAGGACCACATTGCAACGGAGGTGAACAATGGTTCTACCAGTGCGAACAAAGTCATTGTTACAGTCCTATGGTTAGCTTAAGGTACACTGACGGCAGACGATCGAGTTGCCGAGCTAGCTATTTTCGACCAGGTACCGTTGAGTTGCTCTGTTGCTTGCTTGTTGAACAAGAAAATGGCTAGCGGTGCCATGTAGAACTTGTCCTAGATGGAAGAAAGGGGTGGCGGCTGTGTGGTGGTTCGGGTATCCGAGGAGGTCGCCGGTTTTTCCCCATTTATCATTTGGGCACAGCGGGCTCCCCCCCTAGAGTGTACGCTGCATCACTTGCTGTTTTGAAAAATAATGAAGTGCTTAATTCTCATGATTTTCCGAATCAGATACAGCTAAATAAAATGTGGATAAATCTGAGTGCATAAAAGCTTGCATTGTGTACGAACTGGATTATAAAGTGCATATCTCGTAGTTTGACAATCATCCACAGACTTATATAAATGATCATTTCTGGCTCAGGAAGGTCTGAAAACTATTTTCTGAAGGAAGCGTCGATTCAGAGGAGAGAGCCGGGAATGTAGTTGTATTACTACATGATATCCTGAGTCGTATGAGTGTCTGAGAGCATTTAGGCCTTATCATGAATAATCTGCAGCGTAGAAGCGACCCGCTGAAGAGGTCAGAAGTGAACAGCAGAAAATGGGGGAAAAAGGTATAGAAGCCGACAATAAAATGCCGGGCATTGGCGGAGATCAACTTGAACTGGAGTCCGACAATTGCAGCCGAAGACCGTTCGACTGTTACTGTCCGTGACATACTCTACTCTAGACCTTGATGCCGTCGATATTTCAATCCTCAAGCTGTGAAAGGCTCATATTCATTCTTCTTCTGCTTATGTGTACACACAATAAACTGTCTCCTCTATGGCCACATATCGAATTGGTATTTAGGATGTCATATTCTGGGGCATGAAGCCGCGGGAAGGTGCATTTCTTTACCTTACGAGTATTTAAATTTGTACTGATATCGGTTTTCCCTCGTTTTTAGTCACTCTATACACTGCCTGTGGCATTGTTTGTGCTGGACGACAGCCTCAGCCACCAGATGAATCTGTTATTATCGTTATTTCCACCCGGAAAGCTGACGCGTCAAGTGGCTTGGCATGAAATCGTCACAGGAGAGGTATGTTGCTGTCCAACTAGAAAGATGCATGCTTAATGGTTATACGTTTTGCAGTGAACACATTCAACCCAGTGGCACGAATGAGTACACAGATACCTTATCCATGGAATGGATTTCCATAGCCGGCGTGTTCTCACCATTGACTACAAAGGGTCATCGTTCTATGTGTTCATGAGCATAGCTCGGACTGACGAAAAATATAGACGAAATCTGACGGGATATATCGGAATGAAAGATCGCCGTTAGCGGGGCTTCGCTATGAACTGAAGAGCTACGATGACCATACGAAGTGGTGGGTTCCTAGGACTGCTCAACGTCACCGTTGAATATCAATCCTCATGTTATCGGTGTAGTTTCGCATCGATAAATCTCTCAAGTTCAAGTCTTCAAAATTTCGTGAGATTTCGAGGCCTATAAAGTCCCGAACTCTGAATTAAATGAAGAAACCAAGCCACCACCGCCACCCAAAACCGCGCCTACACCTTTCCGCAGACCAGTTCCAATTCCTTCGGCCAAGCAGCGCGTCGTTCGTTGCATCTGGCCCCGAGATCCCAATGGACCTGTGTTGGCCGACCTACCTAGCGGCAAGGTCGCTGAGAACAATCAGCGAGTCTGGGGCGCCACGCTTGATGATTTCTATTACGTACGGCCTTTTCCTAAAGCTTCAAGCGTTACAACTAGGATGTGCGGGAGCAGGCTGGCGGCGTGGATGAAGGAGATTCGGGAGGTTGAGCATGCGAAGGAGGAGATCAAGCGGGCCGAAGCGGAGGAACATCCTCGAGAGGTTTTTCCGTGCGACATCGGTAGACTTCTCGATGACGAGGACTCCGGTACCCTGACTTGGAGACCATTAGAGCAACTCGTAGTGGCGTACGTGGAGAATGACGAAGAGGTATCAATGCTCCCTTTCTTTTGGTTCTTTCGTTGATTTTCCTGTACAGAATCTTGCTCCGACGAGGCCTCAGAATCATCCGGACAAAACAGCTTACGTGTTTCAGCAGCGAATACCCTATCATCTTTTACCGGAAAAGCTTGTCGTCCACGACGACGGTGGTACTCTTCGTGCGTTGAACAACGATTATCCCAGGCTACCAAAGAAAAGTCACGTTTACCGACTCTATGTCTCTTCCCACGTCAAGCAAGATATCGTTCAGCAGCGCTCGGCTGTTCAGAAAGAGCACGTTGCCGCCCATTCTAAAGGCGGCATGCTCTTCGTCCCCTCTTCTCTTGAAATCGCCATCGTCTCCCCATCTTGCTGCACAGGCCCAGGCTCTGGGGCGATCTTCGCCAAATTTTCCAAAAAGCCAGCACTACCGCTTTCCACCCCGGAAGCGCATCTGTACCTTTCACCCGAGCGCATCGTTGGACGAGGGCATCACTCCGTCGTGTACAGTGCCGAGTGGGAAGTCCCTCGTACATGGCTACCCAGCTTCCAGCCAAGGGTTTGTGAGCAATGCGCCTGCCGTGTGTTGCTGGAGAAGTTCAAGAAGGATATGCCTGAAGTAGAAGTGGACAAGACACAATATATCGGGAACCAAATATCCATCTTCGTCATGGAGGCAGCCAGACGGTCGGGTGGAGTAGGTTCCAGATGCGAGTCAGATGTCGGCAAGATAGAGACGGGGTGCGAAGGGCCGGTGCGGGAGATTGACATCGACGTACGGTGGCAGGGTCCTGGGACGTATTGCGAGCACGAAAGACGCCGAAGCAACAAGACGACGTTCCGGACGCTTGTCACAGCGAAGCTCTCCTTCGAATGCGATGAACATCTCGAACAAGAGGCGAAGAATTATCAGCAGTTCCCAGCGCATTTCTTCCAGCATTGGAGCGGATACAACATCGTGGCGCCGTTGCACGATCCGACTCCCATCGGGGCGGTTGTTCCCCAGTTCTATGGGTATTACGTGCCGGAGAGGGTTTATGATGATGATGGGGGATACCTCAGTCCGATCTTGCTATTGGAAGATTGCGGGACGCCTATCGATATTGATACCTTGGACATTGATGATAGGTTTGCCTCGCGTTGGCTGTCTACCTTTAACGTTTTCCCTGACAAGTGTTCTTTGACAGGCAGGAATGCGCCTCCTTGCTGTTTCGTTTCCACCACGAAGGGTGGTTGCATGGGTCGGTGTTTCCAAGAAATATCGTGGTGCAGCATGGAGACGTCGAGGATTGGCCGGAGTGTAGGAGACATTCGGATCGGAGGTTCAGGTTGATTGACTTTGGGCGGTCAGAGAAGGGGGATACGGTGACGGAGTCGTGGAAGGCGCAACAATTGTTGAAGGTGGGGAACTGTGAACGCATTTAGAAACGAGTACCTTTGGTACGGCTGTTGTTTTCTCGCGTTGGCGGTCCGACTAATCTTCCGTTGTCCTCGTAGCTATTGATTTCGTCAGCACGGGATGATGGACATGTAAGCCGTATCTTGAGCCTCTTCCGCTCTCTTCTTTGGACTGACACTTTGTTACTGTAGATTTGGCGATGATGACACTCATCGCCGCTCAGTAGACGGATATTTCAAGTGTCTGTCATCATTTGTTGTACGACCTTCGGCAAGCGATTTGAGGCCTGAGAATTCCGAGTCCAAGGTTAACTCGTACTGGCGCCGAGAGTAACTGTTGGTAAGACATACGTATGGGTCCCAGCCTCCCATTGTTGAGGCTCAATATACAAAGTTTGAATAAGCACGATTAAACAGAGATTTATAGCAGTTAATGTAGACCTCATAGCGCGGGAGTCGGTGTGAGATACTTGTTTGGGGGGCCGGGGGAGGAGGAATCAATATTAAATATTAAAGAAAATAAATAAATAAACTCTTCGGATGTTCACCGTGCAGCGTAAGAAAACTAACAACTACCGACTGGTGAATTAATTCAAAGTACTCTGACCCGAATCCTCCATGTTCAGCAAAATCAGATGCTTGTCTGGTCTGAGGTATTATTCAACAGGCTGCAGGCTGCAGTCCAGAATTTGAATCTTGCCAACCTTTCTGTGTCTAGATATGAACCTTATGATGCTCTCGATTAATAGGAAAGTCTTTTGAAATGGAAAGCTCTCAAGGATCCATCTCGTTCAAGGGTTCAAATCTGATAACAGATAAAGTCAATGATACCCATTAATGTGCATCAGTTGAACTGAAATTTTTGTCTATCTTGTTGGAGCAATCTGCTATTTTTTTTTTTACATCAAGACTTCCTGGACTGAAGGTATTCCATAGAGCTCGTTGCCCCATGCCCTGCAATTATTCACACACTGATAGCACTCAAAGGAAAGCCATCTCTAACATGATTAAAAGTTGATGAGAGCTATAAGAGTCTGCAAAAGCAGACCCCGGAAATCAATGTGTTGATGCAATCACAGATGTCAGTGAACAATCAGCAACATCCTGATGATATCTTTGGCATCAGTTAAAGATTCATTGCTCTCTTGAACAATCTGTGGAATACTAGGACACAGGACAGTCTTCATGCTCCAGCTTCATCAACTTGAGCCTCCACCTATTATCTAATGTGGTAGGCATCCGAGTCATCAAGACCATCTCATAACAGTTGGAACTTTCATTCTTCTGCAGCACAGCATCCTGTGCATGACACAGTTTCATCAGGCTGACCTCCTGACATTTCATACAGTACTGGCACACTCATGGAAGATCTCATTCTAGATGGAATTCATTCTGTCCTCAGTAGTGAGAATGGTTAGCACCTTCCATGAGATCTTTCTGAGGCCATTCATTCAAAAAGAGTAGGGATCACTGGTCACTCATAAAGTGTACAATCATCCTCTCTTTGCTCTGTGTTGTAAAATAGATGGTAATGGGTAATAAATGCAGTGGTGAACTGTGAGACTTGACCATGTGAGATAGAAAAGAGGATATGGATGTTGATAATTGAAAATTTGATGAGCTGAATGATCAAGTATTTATACTACAAGGTATGTACTTCTAGAATATACTACTATCTACTAGGGTCCATGTCTGACTTGTTTCTGAGTGAACAGACCATCAACAACTCAAGGAGAAGAGTCATGAAGAATCTTGTGAGGCTTCAACTCTAGTTTGATTGCTGGATTGCCATATATGAATGGCACATCTTTGACACTCTACAGCTCATAGTGACTTGTGTCAAGCCCATAAAGTTCCCTCCACTTCCATGTCATTGTTTTGGCTACCACTTTTCTTACACTTTTTCCACTGCCACTTATATTGTCTGATGATACACAACTCTGTGTTTCCATCTTCCACCTGGACTATGGGGACTTCCTTTTCTTGGAAATATTCTGGACATGCCAATGATGAGACCCTGACTAACATTTGCTTGCTGGAGGGAAGTCTACAATCAGTATTCTTTCCTGTTCAATTTTGCTTTGAATTGACTGTGGTCTTCCTCTAGGGAATTTCTGCTCTGAGTCAGTCACAGACATCATACCCTGCTCTTCTGATACTGCCATGGATCTACTGGTTAAACAAAGCTCTAATTATTCTGACTGACCTCATTTCACTATGGTCTGTGATCTCATCAGCTGGAATTAGCTCATTCCATTCATGTCTAACAGATGCTACTTTGAGGATGCAGCAAAGACTATTGCATAATTGCTTAAATGCCAGAGCCATTAGAAAGCTGACTAGGATTCAAGAGAATGAAGTATGACAGCTTCTGAAGCAGTGCTTAGAGGTGCTGGAGAAGTTTCATTACCTTATCATGCAGTGAGTCACCATAAACAAAGATTCAAACCTACATCCATCTAATACCACTCCAGTTATACTGCAGATCAGGTCCTGTGCATCACATACAGATATGACTCAGAAGACAAAGTAGATCTAAACAAGCTCTTACATTTAGTTGATAAAATAATGGCAGAATTTTCACCACTCAGTACACCTGGGGCATTTCTCATAAATCAGCTACTATTTTGCAGGAGTTGATTATTTCCTTCTCCAAGTCCACTTTCTACCTGAATGGCTCCCCAGTATGGAATTCAAGAGGTAGGCATCCAAATAGAGAAAGGATCAGGATGACTTGGTGAAGAGCCTCTTCAACTTTGCTGAAAGCCAAATGGTGAGTCTTTAAGAGTAAGATGTTCATTCTCTCATCCTTGGAGAAGATGAATGAATTGAATCATGCAGGTGGAGGCAAAACAGTAAATGTTTGCATGTAAAGGCTCTGATATTTCATAGCTCATTCTGTTCCTAGACAATCTTGACCTTGAATGCATTCATGCTAAACATGGTCATCTATCCATTGGTACAACAACAGTGCAAATGGAGCTTCACTCTCAGGCTGTCCTGAAAGATGGTGAATGACTACTACCCTCAAGCAACCACAACAAGTTACCATATGTCAATGCACCATGTTTAGAGGATTTCAGATATTATAGTGTTGTTCTGACAGGTATGTCTCATATCTTCTTCTTGCAGCATTGATGACAGTGTCTCTAATTATGTTTTCCACATTGCATATTCAAGGATGACATGTATAATGGTTATTTTATGCTCCAGGTTTCTCTGGTAATCCCTAATCTATGATAAGTCCCCTTCAATGATCACATCAAAAATCTGGATCAGAACTTGTTACCTTAAAAAAATGACACATGATCATGATGTATTTCTCAAACCAATAGTTGTTTCTAGCCAACATGAGCATGTACTGCAATAAAATCTGAGGGAGATTGTATATAGTGTTGGAAGAGAGTGAACTTCTCCATCAATTCTTACTATGACCAGTGATAGTGATCCTTCAATACTGACTGGTGAACCCTCTCTCTCATGTAGGTTCAATATTACTTTTACATCTTTTTTTTTCCAACTTTGGCCAAAACTCTGTCTACAACACTGCTTGCAACACCATCTACTTCAACAGATAGTAGAGGTGTTGAGATCATAATAACTATTACTGCAACACCATAAGTCTTATCAGTATTTTCATTGTACAATGCTGCTGAGCTTGACTCTCAGCATCCCCAGAACCATGTCTGTTTTTCCATGCACTGCTGATTTGACATGTCCACAACTTTACAATAGAACACTGATTGGTCTTGCCTCTCCTCAGGCCTCTTTGTCAAATAAAATTCTTAAAGCTGTATTTTCACACATCAGATCATTGGTTGCCATTGCAGTGCTTGTTTTACTCTTTGCTTCCTGGAGAAGAAGAGAATATTGCAGCAGGCCTAGTGACAATGCTTGTGACTCTCAGGTGATTTCTATGGCTTATTGGAGTTAATGAGGTAGGAGCACAGATGTGGTGAATGAGAAAAAAGTTTCAGAAGAGAATGGACACTAGGATAAAACATTGTAATGTTAATCTCAGTGTTATGGTTGAAAATTTTGTTATTTACCTAGAATGAAATGTTGAAATGTTACTACATAGATAATAAGTAAATATGGTCAAGGATAGATATGTATAGAAGGTACTCACATCTCAGTATTATGGTTGAAAGCTGAGATGTGTGGAATGGTGTGACATGTGGAAAAAGGAAGAAATATCAAATAGATAAGTGAATGTGTGTGTATTGTACTACTCCTATGTCTAACACTCCCCCTCAAAATGTAAACAGTTTGCTTATATGACACTCAGTGCCTCCACAAACTTCTTCAATTTTGGATGAGCCAACAGTTTTGTGAGGATGTCAGCAACCATGTTATCAGTTGGGCAGTACATCAGTCTGATGTGGCCTTGCTTGATGGTTTGCTGAATGAAATAGTACTGAACTCCAATATTCTTCATTTGTTCATAGAACACTGAATCCTTGGCAATAAAAAGTGCATTTTGACTATCAGAGAAGAGGATAATAGGGTTTGTTGGATAAATAGAAGGGTTTGCAATGAAGATGGAGAGCTCTGAGAGGAGTTTGTGAAGCCATATCATATTCTTTGATGCTGGTGTGAGTCCAACATATTCTGATTCACCAGTGGAGACAGTAACAATTGGTTGCTTTCTTGATATCCACATAACAGCACCTTGACCCATGAATAGGACAAATCCAGACATAGACTTTCACCCAGGCTGGTTGGCATATGCTGCATCATGATAGCCCTTAGGACTGATGCCAGGACCACCGATTATGAGCTGTTGATCACATGTACCCTTGAGATAATGGAGGGCTCAAAATCCAGCTTTTAGGTGAGTTGAATGTGGGTCTTTCATGAATTGTGATAATGCTGATACTGGATAGCTGATTTCAGAGTGAGATTCAACTGCAACATACATGAGGGACCCTAGCAGCTTATGATAGGGTGCTTTTTTGCATGGCATAACAGATTCTGTGAATATGAAAGGTGAATCCAGGTTTAGATCAAGATTTCCTTCTATTGGTGTCACAAATAGTGCCATGTTCTGAACTCTGAATTGTTTTGTGATCTGGTCAATGTAGGCTGGCTGTCCAATGCTGATGGTGCACCTTTTTCAGTCCCAAGTGATATGCATCTCCAAGAGCCAATGTATGGGTCCAAGATCAACTAGCTTGAAATGTGAGCCTATTTCTTGTTTGAATCAGTCTGATTCATTTTGGGAGTCTGCAATGATGGTAAAATCATCTGTGGCAACTGTGACAATAGTATATTTGGTCTCTGATTCAATCTGGTAGAGTATAGCCTCATCTGCATTGCTGATGATGAATCCTAGTGTTAGACCCAAGCTGCATGTGATATTATTCATGTGATAAACTGATGTCACTTCATGTTTGAGTGTTCTGTCAGAGTCCACTGATGTGAATTGTTATCAATGTGTGACAAGGCCTGATGATTGGCTCAAGAGTAGAATGGTATGAAGATAAACTTTAGCTTGAAGCTGGGGATTACTAGTGAGAGTGAGCTGTCTTATATACTACAGTTTCTTTCTGCTATAAATACTGTCACCTATTATGTGTCTGTATGCTATTGTGCTCATTGTCCTTGAGTGTTGTGATGTTCTTTAATAGTACAATTGTGCATCATTGGGCAACTGTGTTGCATTGAAAGACAATGACTGACTGGGCTTGTTGTGATGACAAAGCCAGTCCCATGGTCTTAAGTGCCTGTGTTAGATGCTCTGACTAAGCACAAATAGGGGTTAAAAGAAAAAAGAAAATCATAAAAATCATAACACCTAGAGAGATCATCATTGCCTTCAGGGTCTGGTACCAGCCTCATCCTGCTTGTTTTGTGCCATACAGATATATGTGCAGCTTAGCACAAATGTTCTGGCCTTTGAGGTGTTTCAGGATTGTGAAGAATTCTTCATATCTGTTTGGAAACTTGATATAGATTTCCTTGGTGATGTTGGCATGCAGGTATGCATTTTTGATATCAGCTTGGTCTATAATTGCATTTAAAGAGGTGGCCATGGAGAGTGGGATGCAGAGAGTAGGAAGATAAACAACTGGAGCACAGGTGTCAAAGTAGTCAATGCCTTGGATCTGAAAGAATCTCTGTGCTACAAAATGGGACTTAGCCTTTTCAGGCTCACCAGTTTCATTTCATTTGACCCAGTAGACAAACCTTGTACCTACAATGTTGGCATCCATGGGAACATCTTTTCTTTTCATCACCTCTCATGCTTTCTTCTTCTTGCACTGCCTTATCTCTGCAAGCATTGACTTGAACCATTCTTCTTCATCAGGACCACTCAATGCCTCCTTCATGGTTACTTGTTTGACATCCACCATCATGGCATAGTCAACTGATGAGTAGCTGTCTGGTTCATTATCATTGTCTGATTCTGACTTGTCTTCAAGTGCTGTTGCTGCAATTCCAGCTGTAGTAGAATGTTTGTACAAGTCTGAGAGTTGAGTTGACCAGGTTTTGGGGCTGCAGATCACTCAAGGTGGCTGGGTTGAGAGATAGGATCAGATTCTATGTCTGTGAGTGGAGATTCAGGATGCTCTGGATGAGTTTCTGTGAGTGGTTCATTTGACAGGTTTTCAAAGGGTTTAAAAGCAGTTGATGACTTTGAGACAATAGAGTTGGTATCTTCATCCTCTCTCTCAACTAGGAATGGTTCCAGAGTCAGATCATTCTTGTTGAAGTATATGTCACATTCAATGCTGACTTTTCACTTTTTGGGCCAGTACACTCTCCAGCCTTTGGCTTCAGTATCAATACCCACAAAGCAAGTTTCAATAGCATGCTCTTCAAGCTTCTCTGGTGCCTTTACTCAGATCCAGCATTGGCATCCCCATGGATGAAGACCTGAGATGTTAGGCTTTCTGCTGGTTGCCATCTCAAATGGGGTTTTCCCTGATGGTATTGCTTTTGTTGAGATGTGGTTGTAGATCTATTTGGCATGTGAGTGAGCTTCAGCCCAAAGATATTTTGGTAACCCTGAACTGATTAAGAAAGCTCTAGTCATGTCCATCAGATAGCTGTTTGAATGTTTGGCAATCCCATTTGACTGTAGGGAATCATGTACATTTAGATGTTGAACAGTCCCCTTTGATTTGAGGTGCTGACCAAACTCTTCACTAGTGAATTCTCTCTCTCAATCTGTATCAAGGATCTTGATGACCTCTATGCCTTGCTGAACCTTGATCCATATCTTGTAACATTTATATGATCCAAAGGTACCTGATTTCTTTGATAAGTATTCAGATTTTGATTCATGAGTGTGTAGGTCACAGAATGTGCAGGTATAGCAGGCTCTCCCTAGTGATGCCACAGACATTAGGCCTATCAGGTCTTCAACAACCTTGGCACTGCTGTTTTTGACATATTCATATTGGCCTTGTTTTGAGAATGGCTTGCACTTTGCTTTAGCCTTTACACAGGTCTTGCAAAGTTCTGGTTTGGAGTTAAGATCAAGCTCAATTTCTTCAATATGGCTATCAACATGCATGTGATGAAGGGCAGTGTGACTTTGGTAAGCACAAATGTTATGTAGCTTGGTGATGTTCACCTTGAGCTTACCTGCCACCATAGCAACATCTGGTTTGGCTGCCATAGTTTGCTGTGCATTTGGGGTTGAGATTATGTATAAGCCACCAGCTTCAGGGATTTTTGCAATGATCTTAGCATCTGGCCATAGTGTGTATATGGTGTCATCAGAGGGCTCAATATGGATGGAAAATCCAGTATGACTGACTTGTGAGAGTGATATAAGGGTGTAAGCTATTTTTGATGCATAATATGCATTTTGAAAACTTATGATGGTGGGTTTCTATCTCTTTCTCATGGGAAGTGGTGGTTGAAGATTCCCTTTTTCTATTGCATAGAAAACTTGGCCATTTGCAGCTTTGATGGGCTTTGGTTCGATTTTGGTATAGTTTTTGAACCTCTGATATTCAGGTGAGTATGTTTTTGATGCTCCACAATCTGCTAATGCCATAATGTTCTCTCTTTTTACCACATAGGCACTACCCTCAGCTCTATAGTCAGATGTGCATATCAATGCCACATTCTTGTGATCATTGTCATCAGCTATGATAGCAATAACATGTTCATTGTCACTTTCATCAATAGCTGCAGATGCTGACTCCTTTGCCTTTTCCTTTCCCTTAGCCTTGTTCTTTTTCAAAGCTGAGCCTTGTCCTGCCTTTCCACCACCTTTGCACTAACAATCTGCAATGAGATGGCCAGTTTTACCACATGCTGGGTTTGTGCATTTGAGATGAGATTGATCAGATCTTTTCTTTGACTTTCCTCCAGAGCTCTGGCCTTTTCCTTTCCTTTGCCATTGAGCAGACATTGCTACATTTTCAGCAGTGGCTTTTGATGCAATCTCCTCATCCCATTCTTCATGTAGAGCTGCAACTAGGATGTCTGATGTCAGAGTCTTTCCAGTGAACTTGCTGGCAGCAGAGAGGGCACAATGGATATGATCATAGGAAGGTGGAAGTGATTTTTGGATCATCAAAGTGTACTGATTGTCTTCAATCTTCAGATCTATCCCTTCAATTCATTCACAGAGAACTTTTATTTCAGCAGTGTTCATGCATATTGCCTTCATCAGAGCATACCATGTTTCCAAGCTGAGTAAGGAGGTGCTCTCACACAAGATTGCCCTTGCCAGTCATGACAGTGATGAGCTTCTTTCAGATGAGAGCAGCTGTTGCCTTGCCTTTGATCTCATTGAAGGTAGAGTCAGAAACAGCTTTGTAAATGATATTATGCATCTTTGCCTCTTTCTGCTCATATTCCTTCAGTTTATCCTCCAGCTTATCTAGGTTGTCATCTGAGAGTGGATGTGAAAATGCAGTATTGGAGGACCAGTAGAAGTTTCCCTTATGCTTGACAGGGTGCAGAGGTATGTGAGCTGTTCCTCAGAGGTGCCAGCCAAGGCCCTTGTCCAGGAACTTGGTGGTGAGCTTCTCTGAAAATGCTACCCAGTTCAATCCATTGTCTGCAAGCTTTGTTGTGCTAACTAGCTTTATTTCAGTTGTCATGGACATGCTGATAATGGGGCCTATAATCTGTTGGAGTTAATGAGGTAGGAGTGCAAATGTGGTGAACAAGAAAAAAGTTTTGGAAGAGAATGAAAACTAGGATAAAACATTGTAATGTTAATCTCAGCATTATGGTTGAAAGCTGAGATGTGCAGAATGGTGTGACATGCTGAAAAAGGAAGAAATATCAAATAAGTAAGTGAATGTGTGCATATCATACTATTCCTACATCTAACATGCTTGAGCAAACCTTAACCTGCTCCATTCAAACAGGATTCATTGAATCCATCACATTAGAGCCACCTTTCCTCCTGAGCAGACTATTCTATTCTTTTTGAAATACATATGATGAAGAGATCAAGCAGCTACAAAGCAAGATTTTGTCTCAGGAGAATCATATTGGATGCATAAATGAGAAAATGAAGCTCATGCACAGTAGATCCCCACCACCTTCTGACTGCTCCTCACATAGTAGGAGTGATATTTCAGATCATTTTAGTGTTTTCCTGTCAATGCCACAGCCACCATTACCTTTACATGAAATTTGCCACTGAGGCAATCTTATCTTCTTCATGTTAGGTCACATATTATTATCTAGTATGTATGGACATCTATGTAATGCCATAGTCATCCAAGAGCAGCTAGGGATACACACTGTACAATATTATCATTTAGTGAAAGAGTTTTCTGTATAAGGGCATAGTGAGGTGATTTCCAGAAAATCTTTGGTTTGCTTGTCTGGATTGCTGTAAAGAAGGAAACACTTATTGCAATGTGTACTGGTACTTGCAACTTACCGATCAAGGCTCAAAATAGAAATTCATCATATGGTTCCCAGTCAAGCTTTTACAAATGTGACAGGAAGTGCATGGGATGATCTTACCCAGTCAATCAATTTCCATCACCTTTCAAATGTCAATGGATCATATCTTTGGAAGCTACTGACAGCTGTACACTTCCAAAAGTCAAGAAGCAGGAATGTTGACAATAAACTAGAGGAGAAAGATGAAGGGCCATGTCTAACTCTGTTCCTCATCAGTGATATTGAATGTGGTTAGATGACAACACCAGACTTATGATGGCATGTTCAGACAGTGATTCTGGTGGATTACAAGCTCCACAATGTCGACAACCAGTTACCATTAATATTCTTGAAAGGATTTCGCAATAGTATATATGCCTGTAGGTTTTGTTATTAGTTGTCATATTCATAACAGATATGACACATGTTTCACTGCTCACTTCATTTGAGTTCAGCCTCGGGATTTCATCAGGCTCATCACGGGGAAGTTTACTGACCGATGCTTCTCGTGATCTCCAATAGTGCCATGCCCACAATTATGCGGAATTTGTACCTGACCGAACACAAAGGTAGCATAGACTTAGACCTACCATCCTGCCAATGGAGCCATCAAAGTTGGAGCGAGCGATAGTGTTTCTTCCATCAGATAAGCAGAGACTAGAAGCCAGCGTGATATACGAGGCACGCGGAAAGAATTCTCATTCAAAAATGGCAAGTCGTAACCCCATGCATCTGAGAAGCAGAGAATGCCAATGGCGCCATAATTTGTGACTTGAACGACCTTTTTACTTGGTCCGCCCGGTGTAATTGTACACTTTCCATGTAGCATTCGCACTTGATCTTCTCCTCTTCGACATAGTTGGAGGCCACGTCTCCCAGGAGACATGCCACTCCAGTCTCAGACACGAATTCTCCCTCGATCCAGTTGACATTCGCAAAGCAGCCGAAGACTCCTGTGCCTCCCTGAAATGGGACACGAATCTGGAGATCTTTTTCCACGAACTCAAAGATGAAAATCGCGAAACGATGTGCATCTTTGCCATGTTCAATGTATCACATCCAGGCTATGAAGCGCTCCAGAGTGTTTCAGCGGATATGAATTGGTCAATCTTTGATGGCATTTTTACATTCTTTGTAGCCGGTAGACGTAAACCCGATTTTGGTTTCTACCGTTGTACGCTGTCTCAAGCAAACCTCGATCCCTCTCGAACCATTTTCATAGACGACGAGCGAGAACATACTCTCGGCGCGTTACCAGGGACTGCATGGAATTGCGTATCATGACTTCACAGAGCTGAGGCAGTCGTTGCTCAATTAGTTGGGAAATCCGGTACTCAGAGGTCAAAAACACTGAAAAAGAATGCAGGGCATCTTACCTCCGAATGCGCTGGACTAGCCATTCAAGAGAACTTCTCTCAGCTGCTCATCCTGGATATAACCAGTCTATGAGTTCATATCATGGCCACCGTTATAGATTTCAGGTGCTGACAGATTTATAGATCTTTCGTGAGCAATAGTTCTTTTCGATCCGTAATCGATCGATCGTTGTACAGTCACCCAGCCGCAGTCATGGTTCCCGGTTGCGGTGTGACGAAGTTTTTGACTTATTTGTGTCTTCCATCCTACACCTGGAGATACATTGATGTTAATGTCTTGAGGTGAAAAATACTTATGAATGGATTTACAAAGAACCCAGAAGATGTTGATATCACTGAACACAGCCAAATTCTCTTGTTCCGTGCACTGATGAAGGTGACGCGGCACGGCAAGGCAGTAAAATTGATATTTGTCAGCAACTGCCGGTCGCCGTCGGACCGACGGGAACGTTTGTCTCTGTCCCTTACGCTAATGAGTCGTTCCATTACCCTTCAGTGGGAACTTATGGCATCAAAGGACTACATTTAATATTTAATAGTCTCATTCTCATGCAGTGATGGTTTTCCCCATCCTCAACCCTTGCCAGTCGCGGTTCATTGAGTCGTCACCACTGACCCTGATCTATTTAGCGGGCCAGGAACGAATTGACTCTTTCCCTGATGCCGAATTTAAGATCAATGGCTCAGTCAGGGATCCGTTTCTCCAGGACCGTTTCAAGAGTCTTCAGCTTTCAGAAATGTGGTAAATGGAATCCTCATGGTACTATACTGCTGTATGTACCGCTTCATGCTGCGGTCCTCATTCCACAATTCGTCACCGCCCCAGGCGGCGTGGCGGTGTCCTTGCGCAGTCGCCCAAGTTGATATGCTCGTTGATTATCTACGGATTAGATGTTCGAGTTCAATCTTCGCTTCCAGTGGACCATGTCATATTATAATATGACGTTGATGAAAGAGATGTTCCTTCGGCAGCAGCTACCGACCACCCAGCCACAATAGAGCCGAATCCTGTCAATTGAAATCCCAATCTCAAAACGGTCAGGTTACCCGGCGATGAAACATGCCAAGATGCATCAAGGCTATACAGATCTCCTAACTGCGGGTTACTGACTTCCCGAAGATGTCTACGGTAATTTCTGACTCATTCATAAAGACCAACATTTTTATTTTTCATTATCATTCCCTCCTCCGACACCTGGTAGCCTGTAAAGGTCCTCCTGCGCTTCAAAACCATGTCCCTCCTAGAACATGGTGCGTTTCGGCTGGGTGCTGACATACATTGCTGACGTGCATTTTAATGACTAGTGCAAAGTCTCGTTACCAGTGCTGAGGCTTCGCGACAGGACTCTCAATATGGATACACCCCATCGAAAGGCGTTACCCTCACATTCATTATTCTATTCGGAATATCTACCCGTGAGCATTATTGCTCCCAATTTTCTCACGTCGCTCATGTTAAAGTATCGTAGTAACCCACACGGCTCAGAGCATTTTCTTCCGCATGTGGTGGGTCTTCCCGACTATTATCCTTTCCGGATGCCTCGAGATTTTGGGATGGAGCGGGAGGTTTTGGTCAAGTATATCCCCAGACCTAAGTAATCCTTTCATGATACAGTGAGTCTCCGCCTTTTGCTCCCGCTTTGCGGTCCGATCTAAACATTGAAATAGAATAACGGCTACGATCATTGGACCCACACCACTTGTCGCAGCTAGTTTTCTCATCCTTGGAGCTATAATCCGTATTCTTGGACCTGCTTACAGCAGGCTGAGTCCTAGAGCATGTGAGCTCTTCCTTTCCCCAGCCTGTCTATGCCGCTCACGGACTTTCGCCACTAGATTCCATTATATTCGTCAGCTGCGTGAGTACATCTAAATCAGTGATCACTTGTTGTGCTCATTTATCCCAGGACATTCTTTCATTGGTGATACAAGGCGCCGGTGGCGGTATTGCCTCGTCCGCGTCGAATAACAATGACCTCAACGGTGCCAAGCTAGTGAGACGCTGCGCATTTTTTTCCCCTCCGAGTTGAATTAATGGTGCTCCTGGGCATAGGGTAGCAATGTCATGCTCGCCGGTATTGTCTTGCAGCTCGGTATGTCCCGATTCGGTCATCTCGATATCTGCTAACGTAGCTGTCTCTGCAGCTGCCATCTCGTTCTACGCCATCCTCGCTTGCGAATTCCTCATCCGGTACACCCACAACCGCCCTGTTCCAAGACTATTCTCCCGCAAGGAACGGAACGGTTCCTTGGTGACCCTCTCGTCGCCCACTATCGAACGTGGTGTCATGACTACGAAAATAAAGCTCATGATCGTCGCGCTCGCATTCAACACATTGTGTCTCTTCATTCGGTACGCTTCTTTTCATTATCTCGATATCTTTCCAACATCGGAACTTATCTATCTACCTTCCCTAACCACAGTTCGATTTATCGTACGATCGAACTCGCCGATGGGTGGAACGGCAGGATCATCCTTACGGAAGTTTACTTCAGTGCGCCAAGCCGTTCCATTTACGTCGAATTATTGCTGATCCTCGCGATTCTCAGATGTTCTCGATGGGGCCATGGTGGTCTTGGCTATATACACGCTGAACTTCGCGCATCCTGGCCTCCTTATTGGTCGCTCCATGGGAAGAAACCGGGATGCTGTAGACGCAGAGAAGAACGGTAGCACACTTGGGCTTCGCACACTGTGAATATAGACTGAGAGCTGGGTATTTATTTCATGGACATCTAATTATACTCTGTAGCTTTAGTTCGTGGACACAGAGCCGTTATATCATCCCAGGAGGTCGTATCTGATCTTCTATGGCTGCACATTAATATAGTGCCCGTGGCTGAGTTGGTCACAGCATCGGACTGTTATCCCTTCAGTCTCAGTCCGCAATGAGAAGGCCGAGAATTCGAACCTCTCTGGGGGCAGATCAATCAAATAGCAACTGGGTTTTTTTCATCGAAAACATGAACATTAGTGAATTATTCAAATTATAGTATTTGAATCTATTTATTCTGTATGCAGTTCTCTCTCTCATAATGCATATCACCCATAGCACATTTTCTCTCATAATCCATAGAATGGACAGCATGAATAGCATGGATATAGCCAAAAATAGCCCCTAGTTGTGCTATAAAATAGTATCTCACATCCCACCCACCCTTTCTTTCCTCCCTACAGAGTGACCCTCAGTTGACTCTGACTCTAAGCATTTTTTCTTTCTGTTTATATTTATTACAACAAACAATTCACAAGTAAGCCTTTTAGCTCTTTTTTATCTCTCCTCATTACTGACCATTCCTTCCCAGTGATGCCTAACCCCTTCAACCTCAACAACATGTTCTATGACTCATGCCTGAATAACTCTGGGCAATTCAGAAACCAGTCACAAATCTCCTCAACCTCAACCCTTGTCTCTTCCATCACCTACATATTTGGCAAGCTCAAGGTCAAAGGCATTGTTGTCTCTGACTCATTCTATCTCACTGACCATTACTCTGCTGCTTATAAAGACTTCTTTAGTATGTGCAGTGGCACTCTATGCATCTACAAGTCAGGCTCTGTCAGGCCTGAATGTAAGGGTCCAGAAGTGCAGTGCTTCATCCATGAAGCACACTCTGTCTATGGCCACCCTATCACAGGCTCCTGGCTCAAGATCAATACAGACATCTACAAGTTTCTTGACTCTCATGGCATCATGTGAATCTCAATTGACCCCATCACCTTCACCAACACAGGGGAGAAGACACTGTTTTGCCCACTCCTTATGTGGATCAGCATGAAGCACAAGACTCTCCCTTTTGATGCAGTGGTGGCTGCCACTGATGATATCAAGCTTATCCTCAGTCTAGCCAGCTTTTCTGACATTGAGGTTGATTTTTGCAAGTTGGAGGTGACCAACTCTATTGCTGGCTCAAAGCTCCTCTCCTTCAACCTCCTCCTTGACCTCATGTCTGAGTTTCACAAGCCTTTCATGCTCATGCTTGGCCTCTCCATTGTCCCACCCAAGATGCTCCACTACAAAGGCACCAGTGCCCTCTACTTCTGCCTCAGCAACAATGATGAATGTGTTGTTTTTCTCACTGCTGCTTACATCACTCACCCTCCTGCTGTATATACCTACACAGGCATGTCACACCTGCACCCCAGACAGTGACACAAGCACATCATTACCCTTGACAGCATGGGCTACAGGAATATTATGAATGCTATGATAGCCACCATTGGTGATCTCACTCACTCTATCAAGATGTGAAATAAGATGATTTCCAGGCTGGGTGAGTTTGTCAAGGGCAAGAATGCAGTGGTTATCAATTTGTGCAAGTACACCCAGTATGAGGTGGAGAAGGCAACAAGGATGATCAATGACTTGAACAAGCTTCATGATGAGATTACTAAATGCAGGACAAATCTAAACCTGTGCATCATCAGCTTCATCCTCCATGCTGAGCCCATAGTTGTTATCAGCAGACCCACTGAGTTTACACATGACTGGGCCTTTATCCAGATTTACCACAAGAAGATTGACTGGAGCACCTTCTCAAAAAACAACATCTATATCAGTAGATTTTCCATCTTGTCCCACAGTTTCAGTTTTACCTGACTATTATATTCCTACAGGTGGCAACCTCTCACCATCTGACTTTGGCAAGTTCTTATTCTTGCAGCTTAAGGACCAGGCAGGCTATGAGTATCTGGATGATAGGCTCCTCCAGGCCTCTGGCATCATGAAGGATAATGAGATCCACCAGCTCCAGCACCTTAATATCCATAGTGAGAAGGCATTCCTTGTAGTGAAGAACAGCCTGACTATAGGCACCATCATCAGTTGTGCTAACAGGCTTGAGTCTTTCACTTACAGCTATGCAATCTATAGCACCAAGTACATATCCATTGAGGTTGCCATCCTGTCCTACACTGACAATGGCAAGCTGTGTGGCCCCTTCTCTGCCCTCAGAGATTTATTCTAGTGCCATCATCCTCAACAGGATTAGCTGCATCATTGCCTGCTTATCAGCAGTGGTTGCATGAACAATGAGATAGACATAACATATGGGCCCTATACTGATGGCTCAAAGAGCAGATCAAGAAGGTTTTCTCTGGCTGCCATCTCTACTAGGTTGTCTTCTAGGTTCATGCATTTTTAAATGCTAGCTAACACTCAGGTCTTGTTCTTTTTTTTCTTCTTCACTTTTCTTTTCACATATAACCAACACTGTCTCTCCTTGACATACAGGTAGATCTCTTAGACTCATCAACTGGTCAGCCCTTGTACAGTATCACATCTTTCTGCTTCTTGAACATTTGCAGCATATATTTTTGTCATGTGTACTACTATATGTTGTACTTTGCAATAAACAGTGTTCATATGTGTTTCTAACTTATGTGTGATTAAGTAAAAGTTCAATACCAAAGGTAAAGTTTGATGTGGGCACTTGTTGCTCTGGTGCTAAGTCATGCTTTGTGACTTTGTCTCTCTTTCTTTTCTCTCTCTTCTCTCTCACTCACAGCCTTCAAGGTGGTAACTAAGAGTCCATGTCAACTTCATCTCACACCTTTATTCCACAGATGTAAGTGCCATCATTATGGGAGTTCAAGATACAGCAACTGATGAGATCCATAGTGAAGTGAAGGTCTTGGAGTACAGCTCTATCACTGTTATTGACTTAACAACCTCTTTGCTCTCATGTATGCCTAACCTAACAGACATCAAGCAGCAATATTATTTGTGTGATATTCTTTTGTGTGAGAAGAGCCTCACCAAATGGCTACCACCTATCTCATACTTCATACTCATAGGTGCAGAGTAGCCAGGTACTTTGCCAGTCCTGGTCTTTCATCTCTATCATACCATGGTTCAATTATTATCCACATCTGTGTCATTAAAGCTAATGCTAGTTAGAATTAAAGGCCTACTCTCCACCCATAGAAAACTATAGAAAAATATGATAGACTCAAATCAGTGATAAATGATGTTGGAGCCTTGCTAGATGTTAGGCTTTAATTTGCCAGATTTTGGAGGACTGTGCCAGCCTGATGGTAGCTGATCTATGAGACATATTTCAGGTGTTCTGAAAATTCCACTATTTTTCTATCAACCAAATGTAAGAACTTGTTTTGGTCTACTTTGTCTTCTGAGTCATATCCATATGTGATGTGCAGGATCAGATCTACAGTAAGAGGGAGTTTTATTAGATGGATGTCAGTTTGAATCTTTGGTGAGTCACCAAGAGATGTGATAATGAAAATTTTCTGGTGCCTCTAAGAGCTGCTTCAGAAGTTGTTGTACTTCATTCTCTTAAATTCTAGTCAGCTTGCCAATGATGCTGATGTTTAAATAACTGTGTGAGAGTCTTTGCTGTGTTCTCAAAGTAGTGTCTATTAGACATGAATGGAATGAGCTAATTTCAGCTGATAGAGTCACAGGCTATAGTAAAATGAGATTGGTCAGAATAATTAGAGCTTTGTTTGATCAGTAGTGTTATGATTTTTCCACTTTTATTCTCTTTCTCACAGTATTAACCCCTATTTATGCTTAGTCAGGGCACCTACATTAGTGCTTAGGACCATAGGGATGTTTTGATTGGCACAGCCATCAGCAATCTGAAATACAAAAAAGTGACATTCCAACAACAAAGCAATTGGCCTATTATAGATAACCATGATGCCCTAGGACAATGAGCACTATAGCACAGACCCATACAATTAGTAATACTATTATTATTAATAAGACAAATAGTATATAAGTAGCATAGTAAACACCATGTAACTCTAGTCTCAAACTATCCTTTATTCTACCACTTTACCTTGAGTCAACCAATTGCATTGACCTTGAGACATAATATCTACAAACACATCAGTGGACTTAAGCATGATTGTATGAATGCAATACAGCACTTATTTACTATGTGTTATAGAGCACATATCACTCAGGCCTAACAATTAGTTTGAGACTTCTATTTCTCTTTTCTTACATCCATCATGAGTGAGGAAAACTGAATGCCTGCCATTAACATCACTATCACCAATCTTACTGATGAATTTTTCAAGCTTTTAGCTTCAATCATAGGAACTCTTTTAGGCTTATTAGCCATCATCACCCTTTGTCATGGACATCAATCAATCATAGCTTGGGTAGTCAGGCACTACCAATCTTTCCAGCAAATCCAACAGATTCTCAGAAATGTCATCTCCAATCTCCCTCTCCATGACCTCCCTCCCTCTGCCATAGCCTCCTTCCAGTCTGAAGCAGAAACCATACTCAAGGCCAGGCCTAGTCACCCAGATGAAAGAGACCTTCAGAAAGAAGAACTCCAACAACCAACCAACCTCTCTTGAGCAGTTAGCCAATGCAGTGAGCATCCAAACACAGGGTTCAGAAACCCTTGGATCCCACTGCACCTTCCTCCAATCCCTAACCATGAGGATGAAGAGCTCTCCAATGACTTTTTCAAGAAGTCACCATCCTCCAACCATTCCACTGCCTCTCATGAGCCCAGCATTGGAGACCATGCCTGGGACTCCATTGATGAGGTTGTAAGACTTGCAGAAAGAGGATCCAGATATGTCACTCTCTGAAAAAGCCCCAGTCTCCCAGCCCCTAGTCCTTTCCTCTCAACCCCCAGTGACCTCTACAATTCAAGAATCATCAAGTAGCTGGCAGATGAGGAGGAGAGGGAGCTTGATCATCAGCAGTGGGAGGACAATGAAAGATATTACAACATACAGCACAGACAGCAACTCCAAGAGGAGCAAGCAGCAGAGTGGGGCCCTGCCCCACCAGAGTACTATGAACTATACAAAGGCAGAGAGAGAGATTTATATTATAAAGGAGAAGAAGGCCCTGTCCCAGGAATCTCTGCCAATGAAGTCCAATGAATCAGGGTTGCAGACTCACCACCCTCCAGCCTAGACAGTAATGAGCCCCAAGAGTGGCTCAAGTGAGGACCTGACAGCAAAGATGACCTCTGGTCTGCAGACTGGTGGGCCAATGCAGAAGTCATTGATGCCAATGAATATGAGGCTTACAATGACAACTATGAGCCTCCACCTCCCACCTATGAAGAAAGCACTGGAAGCAGCAGCTCCCTCCCCTCTGACACCAGCTCCATACTTGGTGGGTATGGGATCTGAGTTCCTTCTGGGGCCGGAGTCAGTAACTGGGCCCTCTGATGATTCTTACATGGATATATCACCATCCTCTTCCTCAACCATGACTTCTACAATGACTTCCACCAATATAGTGAGAGAGTGGTGAGAGAAAGAGAGTGGTGAAGGAACAATGAAGCCAGAAGGCCTGGATCTTCCTGACCTTGCCGGCAGCCTACTGCTCAAGCTAGCAGGAAGCTCCCCAGTGATGATTTAGGCACCTGAACCACCCAGTCATGACCAATACAATGACTTCCTTGAGGAGAGCAAGGTGGATGACAAGATGGATGAGGACAGCAGGGATGAGGAGGATGACATCCCTCTTGCAACTGACCCATGGCTGGAATTTGGATTAACAGATGAGGAGGAGTTGGAAAGAACAATTCAGGAAACTCAGGAGGAGGAGTTTGAAGCACTGTATCAGGAGGAGGCAGTGACTCTATGGAAGGAAGTTAGCTGGCTGATGACTTCTCTTGGTAGGAGGTATTCAGTTGCTGATAATGAAGAAAAAAGACATATTTTACAATATGCCACAACTGACCATGCCATTTACATTTATAACAACACCCACCCAGAAAACTGACTGAAGGCCTTGCTGGCCTTCAAATATGAAGTTCAACCAATGCTGAGCACACTGTCAGTACCACTAAGATGTGCCAAGCATATGGCACCATTCACCTGAACTATCAGCACTCAACCATCATAAAGCACTATTATCAGCTGAGGAGCCACTATCTGGACAGCCTTGAGTCTAAGAACCCTTATGGCCTGTTGGTTTCCACAACCTCTGGATCAGCAAAGAGAGTTGACTATTTGCCAGGGCAGGACAGGCTGCAGCCAAGAGGGATGACTCTGAAGCCATCCAACTAGGATTTACCATATAAGATGGACATATCATGCAAAAGGAAGCACTGCCTGAAGGAAGTTCTGTCACTGACAACAACTCTCTTCACTCATTTTCTGGACCCTCTGCAGAATGGAAATGACCCCCATTCGATGAATATCCTAATTCAATAGGGGCACTGCCTCTGAATGCCACTATGTTACAATGCAAGCCTGACCTCATACAAACCCTCTGTTTCTTCAAGAGCACATCAGACAACATTGATTGCTTCTTAATTGATTGCAAACAATACTTCAAGCTGTACACTGCCTACCTAGGGGCTAACATAAATAAGGTCACATTTGTGGCCTTATACTTCAAAAGCAAGGCTAAACACTGGTGGATCCTTATCACATCAACCCTATAATCTATGACCTGACAGCACTACTGCTATCTGTCATAGGCTATCTTCAAGCAGATGGTCTATGACAAATTTGTTGACTCAGCCATTCAAGAAGTACACAAAAACAAAATGAAAGAGCTGTGAATAGGTGACAAGGTCACCAGCAAGTACTTTGACAAGCTGGAAAGACTAGGGATGCTAGCAGGAGTATGAGAAAGCATCAATGATGATAGGCAAATGGTCAAGTATCTCAAGATGGGGGTACCCCTTTCATACATCAGTATGATCTCTAACATCAGAACTAACATTCTGAGGGGCTATGATGTCTGGAAGGCCCAGATTATGGAGATGAACAAGGAGAGGCTGTGACAGAAGACAGCCAGCACAGGGATCACAGTTGATCAGAAGAAGCCCCATCAGATGGGGAACAGGAAGAACACTGGTAGAGGATCCTTGGTGAAACCCAATGCAACTGCCATGCCCTCCTACACCATGCAGAAGACAGGTACTAGAATGATATACACTGGCACCAGCAAGCCAATAGATATTAACTGCTTCAAGAAGGAAGGCAAGTGCTTTAACTGTAGCTAGAAGGG